CGTGTAAGATGTAGGAATTGTATAAGTAAAATTAGTGCTTACACTTTCAATATTAATTTCAGAAAACTCATGATTAATGGGTTCTCAAAAATGAAAACAACAATAAATCTCTACAACTTTCCTCCTTGGGTTTTCACTCAATTATAATTATGTATTATGTTGAAAATGTTAAATAAATTTGTATCGACAATATCATTTAAATTTACTATAGAAAGTTATTTTTATACAAGTCTAACGATCAACACGACTTTCATCATAGTTCGTCTTATCAACAATGGAATTTAATGTGCAACATAAACACACTGTTCACTGGTTTCGTAAAGGGTTGAGAATACACGACAACCCTAGTTTACGAGAGGGACTGATTAATGCCAGCACATTCCGATGCATTTTCATACTCGATCCGTGGTTCGCCGGTGTGTCAAATGTGGGCATCAATAAATGGAGGTTAACAACACATATTAGTATATTATAACATTACGATTATCATAATCAAACATAAAAATTAAAAAAAAAATTGTGTTTCAGATTCCTATTGCAATGTTTGTCAGATTTAGATAACAGCCTCAAAAAACTAAATTCTAGACTTTTTGTAATCAAGGGACAACCAGCCGAGGCATTACCTAAACTGTTTAGAGTAAGTATTAATCAAATAAATTTCAGATTTTAAATTAACTTAAACCTCGTCTTTTATATTGCGTTATGTAATTTAATAATAAACAATTCTTAATGTGTAGATAAGAATGTTAAATTATACTCGTATATGATCATGGTATTTTAGGCATACGTAGATACTCAATTGCGCAAAAATGTATTGCCTTATTGACGTAAAAACTAAATATAGGTACATTGAGTATATAATACGACAATTTATGTAGTGGTTTTATTTTTAGCAATGGGGTACAACAAACTTCACGTTTGAAGAAGATCCTGAACCGTTTGGTCGAGTGAGAGATCAAAATATAAAAGTCATGTGTAGTGAAATGGGAATTTCTGTCATAACTCGTTGTTCACACACCTTGTACCAATTAGATAAGTAAATATAGAACTCTTTAAAATAATTTAATTATTATAGTGAAAATTGTAGATTAGCATTTAAAATTTAAATATCAATAAAATTTACATTTGGGTATAAACKATTATATTATGTACCTATTAATATGAAGAAATTTTATTTTATAATCAATGTTATATAGGTATTTTWAAAAAAATKTAGAAAGTAACTCATTTACTGTGAGGAACTTTTGTTAAATTAATTCAAATTAAAATTAAAGTATAAAAGGTTATGAAATTTGAAATTAATTACAGATAGATGGCCGAAAATTTTTTAACTTCAAACTATTGTTTTTTGTTTTGTTCCAGAATAATAAATGTGAATGGCGGGAAAGCTCCATTGACATATCACTTATTTCAAAAATTATTAGAGTGTATTGATCCACCAGAAAGAGCTGTACCTAGCATAGACAAAGAATTTCTTGGTAATGCTTTTACACCAATTAAATATGACCACGATGAAATATTTGGTGTCCCTACACTTGAAGAACTCGGTAAATAGAGAACATGTTACTTACAACTTATAWGTTATAAGTGTTTTGAATTAATTTTATTGTAGATAAGTACWTCAACACATTGTACATAATAAAGTATGATTAAATATGAAGTTAACTTCTGTAAATGGATACAGAGTGYTAAATAGAAACTGCAGAAAATTTGTTTATTTGGTTATTTTAATCACACAATTTATCACTAACTTTCATTAATTATAATTTTACGCTTAGATAGTAAATACTCTGTTCGTAGTATTCATATTCGATTTTATTTTTTGATTTAACTATGTGTGAAGAGTAAAGAGTATGATTTTTTTTAATACCTATTTATAGAATTTTAGTATATAGTATATATAAGGTGCTATACTACTACAATATGTAGTATTTTAACAATGAATATATTAGAGTTTTCAAACCGTAATAATATTATACAATAATTTGAGAACAACAATATGCCAATATATTTTATAATTATTTAATTATTTATCGGATATTAATTTAACAATAAATTAGTCCAAATTATCAATGTTCCTAAATATCTACGCGAAAATAGTTAAATTTTATGTACACGTTTTTAATGTTTGTATTTATATTATAAAATATATTTACAGGATTTAAGGAGATAAACAACTCAGCACGACACATATGGGTTGGGGGCGAAACGGAAGCTTTGATAAGGTTGCAATGTCATTTGGAGCGAAAAGCATTCATCGCATCTTATGGAAAGCCAAAAATGACACCACAATCCTTAGTAGCTAGTCCCACTGGTCTCGCGCCGTATTTGAAATTTGGATGCTTATCCACTAGATTGTTTTTTTCAGAGCTAAACGAACTTTATAAGAAGGTATATATATATATATATATATATAATATTATATAATATAATATAATTTTATTTAGTTTTCCTCATTATTTAAATGTAAATAATATTTTATTGCAAATAGTTTGAAGTAAATAGTTAATACCAACTAAAGTGAGGCAATTGTAAATATTAATTATGAAATATAAATTAAACTTTTAAAAATACCAAAAAATTAGAAACAATTAAATACTGTAGTATATTATAATTTATAGTATCATACAGAAGTTACCTATAGCAGTGGGTACACGTTTATACTTCTTCATGTTATTGACTATAGGTATTAATTATTAAGATGATATTTGGCCATGTTCTATAGGTATATAAATATCGTTTACAATTGTCTCAATTTGTAACCACCCCTAAATTTCACTGTCATAATATTTAGTACCTTGTCTGTATAACCTATATGATGTCAAGTAGATACGAAAATCCCAACCACCGCTTTCATTGCACGGACAACTGTTGTGGCGAGATTTCTTCTACTGTGCGTCCACTAACAATCCGAACTTTGATCGAATGGTCGGAAATCCGATTTGCGTGCAAATACCTTGGGACAAGAATCCCCAAGCTCTGTCCAAGTGGGCGAACGTAAATAAAATTCACACATACCTATTTTTATATATTATAAAGAAGCGAGCATGTGGTTCGTGRTAATCGAAGTGCGATATAATGCGGTAGTTGAATTGATTTCAGGGACAAACCGGTTATCCATGGATTGATGCGATCATGATACAGTTGAGGCAAGAAGGCTGGATCCACTGCATAGCGAGGCACGCAGTCGCGTGCTTTCTCACCCGGGGTGACCTGTGGCTATCTTGGGAAGAAGGAATGAAGGTATACGAGGGTTCATTTAATAAATTGCACAGTATTATATGAACTTCAATATCATTCTAGTTTTATCACGTTTTGTTTACGTAATGAATAATACGAAAAAGACTGAAAATCTTTAGGTATTCGATGAACTATTGTTGGACGCCGATTGGTCAGTAAATGCTGGATATTGGATGTGGTATTCGTGTTCGTCGTTTTACCAAGAGTTCATTCACTGCTATTGCCCTGTTAGGTTCGGTCGAAAAGTAGATCCGAACGGTGATTATGTAAGGTAAATAAATACATCTACAATCTACAACTTTTTTTTACCTACGTCCAAAAAAATAACAATAATTATTAGTAGAATTACTATATATTTTCCGAAAATATAGAAGACTGCACTGTTTTGTTGTTCAAAAACATGACTTATAGTAGAAACTATCATGCCTACCGATTTCGGTAATTTTTYTTTTGGAAAGAGAAACACTTCTTATAAGGTGTATTGGACTTGGACTTTCGAAATTCTATTTCTAAACCAAATAATATAGTATTGAAAATAACCAATWTGCACAAGCTTTCATTATTATTATTATTTTTGTCTTAAGCAACGAAATTAAATATCGAAGCACAATGTGCTCTGTGGAAAATTATCTTCTTTCTAACGTAAAAGATTATCGAAAACACTTATCAAATTAGACCATTCTACGATGTGTAATAGTTATTCCTGTAAAGCATGTTTYGAGCAAAAGTCATGCTTATAATTTTTGGTCGGTGGTCCAAGAAATGCGCATTCTCAATGCGTAGATAGTCCGATGTTCGCACACATCACACTCACATTAATCATCATTGACGACTAACACAAATGTCACGAGTAGTGGAAACATGGCATATTGTCCCTTAATATTTTAAACATACGAGCATCATGTAATTTTATATAATTTTTGTTTATAGGAGATACATTCCAGTGTTGAATAATATGCCTAGTCAATATATTCATGAGCCGTGGTTAGCGCCTGAGTCCATTCAGTTTACTGCCAATTGTATAATTGGCATTGATTATCCATTACCAATCGTCAATCATGTCAATGCTTCTAAAATCAATCTCGAGCGGATGAAACTGGCATATCAGCAGTTGTCTAACTGTCAGCCACAATTAGAAAATGGTAAATTAATTCTTATCTCCTCAGCGAGGAGATAAATTAACACATTGTATCATAAAGTATAAGCAAGCATAGTTATAGTATATTATTCATAATATGAAATTCATTAATTAATGGCAYCCTAAAATAAAATTAGGTGTATTAATTGAACAATCCTTGCAAAAAAAAAAATGGTTATTTCAGAACTATGTATTGTAATAATAATACAATAGTATTCCTGAATGTTAGTGACAAATCGTTGTTCTATGAAGTTCCCGAGGTAGAAAACGTGTTTATTTTTGTAAAAATAAAGTGTCAAAAAGTTGTTAAGAGAACACGGGCATTTATTGTTTTCTCCGTCTTACAAACGTACAACATATATGGCAAATTTCATGCTCACAATAATACGTTTAAATTTGTAATTTTCAAAATTAGATTGCATTTACCTCTTATAAAATTTAAAGGCAAGAATTTTTAAGGCATATCAATACAATCCTCCAAGATGCCCTAGATAATATCTTGCCTTTAAATTTTATAAGAGGTAAATTCAATCTAATTTTAATAATTACAGAATTAAAGTTATTATTGTGAACATAAAATTTGCCATGTTGTACGTTTGTAAGACGGATAGATAACAAATGCCCGTGTTCTCTTAAAAACTACTAATAATACCTATTAATTATTATACATGTACCTATATAATATTGCTGTGCCGTGCGTTAAAACAATCATCATTATTACTGTTTAGCTGGTAGATCTAGGTATATTTCATTTATCAAATTTCCATGATTTTTGTCGAATTGTATAGTTATTACTTATTATGTTATTATAATTATACATTTTCGTTAAAATATAGGTACGTTTACCTCTGAGATATTTGTTTACTTGTAAATTTAAGAAGCTCGTGTTTTTTATATTCGTTATATGATGGGCATTTTTTTACACGTCATTTTTTTAACATACCTATTATGTAGTTCTCATCATATGAATGTTATATTATATAAATACATACATAATGGTTACAGTGAGTTCTGACGAATTAAAGAGTGCTGTGACCATGCACAGGTATTTTTAAAATAAACCAGATTGTCACTAAATTAAAGTGGTRAGAGATGTATAGTTTTATATAATAGGTAATAATGCACATAAGTGGCCAGTACGTTACGGCGTGTATTGAATCTAAATCCATTATAACCATATAAGTACTTAAACATGGCCAGTATTCGTTAGCAGATAGCCGATTGCAACGAAAAAGAAGAAGGTGACAAGTAGTATAATTTTTAAAAACTGATATTTTAATAAATACAATATCATTATTTTGTTTAATTTGGTTCATAAACTTAAGATGATATCAGTGCACTAATTGTTTTCTCTTAGATGAACGCGCAACATATTAAATATATTTTTAGCAGGACCTACCCTATGTTGTTACTTTTAACATTTGAGTGAATTTACCGATTGTTAAACTCTAAGCTCAAAACGTTACCAGATCGTTACAGATTAACAGTGTATATTGGTGTTTTATGATATTTTAATTTTTATACAATTTATACGTAAATATTTTTAAACTGCAATAGTTTATACACATAACTTACTCACAAATTAATTTAATTGATTATAAAATAGCCAACGTAGTGATACAGATAATGTTCTTAATTTAAAGTTTGATTATCTAGGGGAATTCATTCTAAAAATTAAAAGTAACAATTAAGAGTTGGGTCTACGAAACWTAAATTGTATATATATTGTGCATAGGTCAGAGAGAAAACAAATAACATGATGATGTATCCTCTAAGATTAAAATTCGTCAGAACTCATCTACGGTGACCTGCAGTACATTAAAATATTTGATATAAGTTAGAGATATAAAATAAGTACTAAGTATATATCAACTTTTTTCACCTAATATGTATTATTTAATATTGTGTTATATTAGTAGTTGCTATAATAATGCTTATTAGCCTTGTTATTAGTATTAGAACATGATAGGTAAATATTTTAAATTTTAATATCAATTATTGACTGACTCATTATTATTAAAAATATTTATTATATAAAATAATATATTATAAATTGTATTATCTGTGTAATTTATTTTGACGTTGGTTTATCCACATTCTATATTTTTATATATCACCAATCCCATACCGAATCAAACGTCGGATATAATATATTTATTGTATTAAATGACTATATAACAGGTAGAAAATTATTGAATGCT